ACTCAAGATATTGGCAACCACCCATGGATTTAAAAAGTCAGTTAAAGTGTACCTTTATTACATTTTTTGGTCATTTTTGCCCAACAAGAGGTCCATTTGGGTTAAGGTCACTTGCAGAAATTTTAGGTAAAAAAATGGATCATGTAATTAACGGTCTTAAAGGAGTCATAAAAAAGTATGGATGATTTTTAGTTTTTGGAAAAACATTAAATAAGTACACTGAAAATCTAGTTGTATTGCTAAGTTAATTTGCGGAACATGCTTACCCTTAATTTAGAAAGGTGTGTATTTAATCAAAGTGAAGCGGAATTTTTAGGACATAAAATATCAGCAGAGTGTGTGAAACCTCTGAGCAAAAAAGTTGAAGCAATATAAAATTTCATAAGACCAACAATGATTATAGGTTTGCGTAGTTTCCTAGGTATAGCTCAACAGCTATCAAATTTCAATCCATTACTCGTTAAACTAGCTCAACCTTTGTAAGATCTTTTAAGTTCAAAATTAACATGGGTAGGCACAAAAAATTATACTAAAGCATTTAATGAGATACAAATAAGTTTGACAAACCCACTAATTTTAGCAAATTATAATGTGATAAAATCAATAAAATTGAGAACAGATAGAAGTTTATTAAACGAATCTAGTGTAGTTGTTTATCAAATTATGATGGGGTATACAAACCAATTAATTGTGTGTCCAGATTTTTGACAATAGCTGAAAAAAATTATTATCCAATCAAAATAGAAATGCTAGATGTAACATGGGGATGCACGCGGATGTTGAAGTATTTGTATGGGTTTCAAATTTAATTTTTATAATGGATCACAAACCTTTAAATCCTTAATTAAATTATTGTTCGCTTATCGAGAAGCTGCCAAGAATTCAACAATTAAGAATGAAGTTGTTAAAAATTTCATTTAATGTAGAGCATGTTGCTTGCAAATCAATTACTGATGCAATGTCTCGTGCACCTGTATCGCAACATATAAAAGACAACAAAATTGCAGAAAACAATCTGAAAATATTTTACGTTAAAATACGTTATTTCATTAACTAAAAGTTTGCCAGCTACAGAGAGTCGATTAGGAGAAATGAGGCAGAAAACTACGCAAGATGAACTTATACAATAACTGCAAGATAGTATAGTTTCTGGGTGGCCGAACTCAAAAAAACATTATACAACAAATAAGCATTATTAGAATTTTAAAGATTAAAAAGTTAAAATTGACTCTTGATGTATAAAAACCAAATAATAATCCCAGTTAGTATACAAAAAGAAATACTGTCAAATTTGCACAAAGTTCACTTAAATATGTAAAATGCAAACGTTGTGCACATCAGGCAGTTTTCTGGTCAGGTTTAAACAACCAAGTTTAACATTTAATCAAAAAGTGCAAAACTACCATGATAATAATAGTCGTACTTTAGTACCATACTTTTTCAAGCTAGGTCAAAATTTTTAAAAATACTTATATTTACTTACGTTTACATGAGTATCCATCACCACTATAACCAACTGGGCATGCACAGTAAGAAAAACCATTTTTATCTTTTTCACATCCATTTGTGAAACATAAATCACATACTGGAGATAAAGCAGTAAAAAAAATAAAAATTTCAAAAGCAGTAAAATAAATAAAAATTTCAATCAATAATGTGAAATACAAAAAATGTATAAAGTTTAAAATACGTATAAATAAGGCTGAAAATAAAACAGCAAACTGTACACCTTATAAAATTATAAAAGTACATAAAATTAAACCTAAATATTTATATTACAAAAGAGCTTTTACTCTTTTTTATTTTATTTTGTTATTTTATTTCCTTTTATGTTTGCTTATCTTTTGTATTTACAGTTGCATCTTTATAATTTACAGATCCAAACTTTTAGAGATTAAAGAATAAAGAAACCAAATTTTTTGTTTATTTTTAAAACATTGCATCCAGTAAGAAGCCAATTATTTTGGTAGGTTTTTTTTAATAAAACCCAAGTAATATACAAATTTAATTTTTTTGAACATGCATATACCAATGCATTTATTTTATCATTAAAATGATTTGAATTATTTTTCATTATATTGCTGTCGGTCCAGTAAATATATTACCAACAGTTTATACATAATACCTCATTTGCCTCTCCTTTTCTATTAGAAAAGAAGTGTATGACTAGAGTTTATACTCTCCTAGTCAAAAAAGCACTTAATTCTAATTTTAAAAAAATGTCATTTTATTCAAAAATATCAAACTTTGTTTATCTTTTAATAGTGAAAGTTTAGCAGCTAAACTAGAGTTACTTGTCAGGAACTACATCTGCATACAATTTTTAAACATTTTTAAAAATAATAATTTTCAAAGATTCTGCTAAACTTTAGCGCAAATTTCGAAAATTATTTTCTTAAAAAATGTTAAAAATTTATAAGTCTTGATTCATTGTTGGTGTTTTCCATTTATACTTTTTTTTAAATTGCTTACCATTATCAGAATTTCCATTACAACCTATATAGCAGACAAATGTGTAAAATAGAGCTGTAATATTTTTTTAGACTAGTTTTATTATAATTCCAATTTCATTTTATTTTGTTTATACGATTTTGATTAGCTGCTTTGCTATAATTAATTGCAATTAAAATTACATAACTTTTGAATTTGATTTATTTATTATTAATTAAAGCATAAAATATTTTTTTTTAATTAATTCAAATAAACTTTACGATAAAATCTCGTAATTAAAAATAAATGAATAAATTTTTTGAGTAATATTAATAGTTTACAACAGACCACATTAAAAATAGCATTTTTATTTTGAGAATTGAGAATTAAATGACTTTTCTTTGAAGAAATTTTTTTTTTTTAAGTTTGCAATGTTTAAATAAAAATATTTATCAATATGTTCTTTTTAAACTACCAAACAACATTAAAAAATATATTTAATAAATTTTAATAAATTTGTAAAAATACTAAATTAAATTGTTTTTTACTACCGTTTGAAAGAATTTTTCTTTTTTTCATTTCTTCTTCTAAAAAAAAATTTATAATTAAAAACGAAAAAACAAATAAACAACAAAAAAAATAATAACTAATAAATAAATATCAATGAAAAGTTTACTGCTGTTGCCACTGACAACAAAGAAGTTTTTTATAGAGCCACTTGCATTTTCATTCCATGTATTTGATGCATAAACATCGACATTATCAAAAACTTTGGGTTGAATAATGCTTTTAGAAAAAACAATTACTTTTTTTATTTTGATTGTAAATACGTAATTAACATCAACCTTTGTTTGATTTATCTCAATATATGACCAAATATTTTGACCAATTGGACTTGAATGAATACATGAATATTGATCAAGTATAAAATCAACAAAATAAACACAGAGAAATCCTCTTTTTTCATTGTTTTCATAAAACCGAATTGCAAGAATACTATATTTATTATTTTGAGAATAAGAACCAACAGTAAAATCAATAATATTTTTCACAACATCAAACTTTTGAGGATAAACATCAAATAAAACAAAAAATTCATAGTGTAACTTTGAAATGTGAGCAATCTTTCCTATTACTATTGATGTTATATTATTATCAATGAGATACTCTAAAACATCAAATTAATGAGATTAAAACAATAATTTCAACATAAAAAATGATTTTTAATAATAAAATTTTATTAAATATAATGTTAACAATAATAATACCAGCATTTCCATAAACAATTAGAAGATCAGAAATTAAATTTGTTATTGGTATATTCCAACGATTAGATGCATGCACTTTTATTTTACTACATTTTTGATATTGTTTCCATTTATTTTAACAGCAGACAAAGAAATACCATTTTGTATAATTTGGGCAATTTTAATACCGTAAAATCGATTTACAGCAAGCTGATCAGTTTCAACTTTGATATCATTGTTACCATTTACTGCAAAATAAGTATTTAACTTTTCAGAACCTATATTTACTATTTTCAGAACTTATATCATTTATACCCATATTTACATCGACCGACCTATCTATCCATCTTTCTTCTATTCATACATACATACATACATACATACATACATACATACATACATACATACATACATACATACATACATATATACATACATACATATACATACATATATATATATATATATATATATATATATATATATATATATATATATATATATATATATATATATATATATATATATATATATATAAATAATATATCTATATATATATATATATATATATATATATATATATATATATATATATATATATATATATATATATATATATATATATATATATATATATTTATATATATATATATATATATATATATATATATATATATATATATATATATATATATATATATATATCCCTGTGATAAGTCCGACGGTGGGCCGAGCTCGGGCCGAGCTCGGGCCGAGCTTGTTACATCGGTTGAACATCGGCTACTCTGTTTTTAGCAAAATAATATCGGTGAAACGTCGGTTTTGTGTCTGTTGGCCGATGAATGGTCAAACAGACATTCAGCCGACGTTCAGCCGATGTTCAGCCAATTTGGTTCTGTTTTTATTTTAATGATAAAAAACCGAATATGTTGAATTTTAAAAATGGCAGCAAATCTATCTAACTGAAGGCAAAGTTTTTTAATGCATAGAAAAGTTAATTCGTTTACCTGTTAAATTAATATTATTTAATAATATTAATTGGTATTTATAAATAATAACATTACTTTTTATTTACAAATAGTTATTTGAATTTTATTTGAATAGTTATATAAATTTATAAATCATTAAAGTTTAAGATATAAAAATATTAGATAATAATATCAATATACTAGGTAAACAGTAATTTGTTTTGATAACAGTTTAAAAATACTTAAACTATGAGCATACAGTTTGTGATTTATGTTTAATAAAAAAATTATTCATTTTTAAGTTAAACATTAAATGATATTAAATAGTTCATTAACTCAAAACTTGTTAAATAAGTAAACAATTATGAGTCTTTAACGATTTTAAATTACCTCATTAAATTTTAACGATTGAACATAAATTGTGAACATCATTCAGATAGAATTGTTGAAGATATAAAAATTCAATTCAATACAAGGTAAGGTAGAAAGTTTTTTATATACTGGTAACATAAGTTTTAAGCAAAATAAGCTTAACTATTTGTTTATTATTTCACTTCAAATTTTTGCCTTGTTTATTTATATTGTATATTTTACATTTACAGTAATAATTTTTTTTATGATCACAATATTATTGTTATATATAATATACTATAAGCAATAATTAATGTGTAACTAAAATATAACTATATTTTAGTTACTAATTATATAAACCAATTCAATATTTTAATGATGGCATCAAATCGTTCTGATAGGAGAAGAGCAAGTTATGAATTGTCAACTTTTTTTTCTTCAATACGTGCTAAATTTATATTAATAGTATAAACTAGTATTTAAAAATTTGATTGCAATTGTTTATATAAAAATAAAACTTAGGCAAAATGATATAGAACATTTATTTTAATGATTAAAGTGTTAATCATTGTAACAAAGTTTTATATCATATAAGTTTGATGATATAATATCAATAACAATAATATAAAATGAAACTATTTTTATTAAAAAAAAAATAATAATTGTGCAAACTTTGCAGATAAAATGTAATTATAATTGTTATTATATGTAATGTTATTATAAAATCTCTCTCTCTCCTCTCTCTCTCTCTCTCTCTCTCTCTCTCTCTCTCTCCCTCTCTCTCTCTCTCTTTCATATATATATATATATATATATATATATATATATATATATATATATATATATATATATATATATATATATATATATATATATATATATATATATATATATATATATATATATATATATATATATGTATATATATATATATGTATATATATATATATATATATATATATATATATATATATATATATATATATATATATATATATATATATATATATATATATATATATATATATATATATATATATATGAGAGAGAGAGATATACATATATAATTATGTTTAATCATTTTTATAATTTACGTTAATGTTGTTTTCTATTGTGAAAGTATATAATTTTTGTAGTATTCTTCTGATTTAAATAATCATTCCGTAATGCTAATAGTTTACTAAATGCTATAAAGCTATAATGTAATTTATTGTTTCATTTAGACCAAAATCGCAGTATTGAAGTAAACGGTAATAGCCCTTTAAATATTTTTTAATTTCTGTTGTGATATCAAATATAACATTTAAATTATGAATTTATATTTAATTGAAAGTTTAAAATTGTTTTATTTAGGCAAAATTCTTAAGCCACAAGTTGACAGAGCTAACCTATACCCAGTAGATTTCTCTATATCTGACGTTTGTTTTGAAAGCAATGAAAATAATTTAAGTTATTCAGATAGTGATTTGTATTTAAATGAAGAAGATTGCATGATCTCAGAGTCAGAAGATTTTGTGCAGTATTTGCATAGCGACTCAAGTGACAACAAGGATTCAGAGTCCAAAGAAGATTCCAAAAAAAAAAAACTTAACTATTGCTGATCATTTGCTTATGTTTTTTATTACTTTTAATATTAGTCATCATGCGATGCTTAATCTTTTAAAATTGTTGATAAAATTTGGAGTGCCTGATGTTCCAAACTCTATTTATTTATTGACAAAAAAATCACAATTACAAAATTTAAATATTGTAAAATTATCTAATGGAAATTTTTTTTATTTTTCAATTATTGAAAATCTAAAATACTGTGTTGACAAAGGTGTTTCTATTACTTCATCAACTATAGATAAAATATAATATAATAATAAAATATGCGATTTTAATTTAACAATGATTTTAATTTTAATTATTAATTTTAATTTTAACAATGATTTTAATTATCTTGATATGAAAGAAAATAATCAAGTTATTTTATCACCATTAGCTTTCATAACAGGTATTGGTTTACATTCTTCTTTTCCTCCAGAATATCAGCATCTGGTGTGCCTTGGGGTTTGTAAAAAATTATGCTTTTTTTATTTTACATCAGTTCCTCAGTATCCACGTCTTCCTTGCAAATTAAGTTTAAACCAAATGTCACAAGTATCGGAAATTATGAAGAACTTTTCTAAATTTATTCCTATTGAATTTCATTGTAAAATCAGACCTTTATCAGAACTGTGCCATTACAAAGCTACAGAATATCGGTTTTTTTTGTTATATTTAGGGCCATTTTTGTTAAAAAAGATTTTGCTGCCAGATTTTTATGAACATTTTTTATTGTTACATTATGCAACGTATTGTCTTTGTTCCAACAGTTTTAATGATTATATAGATTGTGCTAAAGGGTGTATCAGTCACTTTGTTTCAAAATGTCCAGAATTGTTTACACCAAAGTGTATGTCATATAATTTTCATGTTTTGTTACATTTACCGTATTTTGTTAACTTATATCAACAACCTCT